ATAGTGACAAATGCATCTTCGGTGCGGAAGAAGTTTTTGGATACGTCATTGAGAAGCAAGGATTTTGAACGAACTCTGACAAGGTCAAAGCCATAGTGGATTGGCCGGTTCCGAGGAACCAGAAGGACCTTTCCGCAAGTGGTTGTGCTTGGCAAATTACTTGCATAAGTATGGACACAACTATGCGGAAGTGGCTGGGCCATTTTGTGTCGAATCTTTTTAAAAGAATGTGGAATGGTGTTGGAACACCGCGCACCACGAGGCTTTTGAAGCCATTAAGGAGAGTCTCCTTCAGGAGCCAATTCAGGCTCTACCTGATCCTGATCGCCCGTTTAGCGTCGTGTGTGACGCTTCAGACTTTTCCATTGGCATTGACTCTCTGACAAGTCGCCGAGAAGTGGTCGAGAACGCGTCATTGCATTTAAATCTTGCCAGCTCATAACTACAGAGAAGAACTATCCAGTTCATGACAAGGAGCTACTTGCGATGAAGTATGCCCTTGTTAAGTTCAGGGTACACCTGTTGGGATTGAAGCCGTTTGTGATCCATACATATCATGCGTCGTCACGCACCGCGACACAGTCGCCTCATTTCTTGCAGAGAATGGCTCGTTGGCTCTCCTTTTTTGCGGAGTATAACTTCGAGGTGAAGTATAAGCCGGGAAAACAGAATGTTTTGGCTGACGCGTTATCGCGTAGACCTGACTATAAGCTTGGTCATCTCACTGTTGTGAGTTTGTCAGTAGCGGACCGGATCCGTGTGACGCATGCACGCGATGAGGCATGTGTTGCCATTCTCCAGGCGCTAGGTAGAGAAAAGTTTGACAGCTTTAAGGCGATGATTTCACCACGTAATCGAGCGCGATTGCATCGTTATGCACTGACCGATGGTCTGTTGTACTATAGTACAGGGTCTGATGACCAACCACGCGTTGTGGTACCTATGATGAGACCTCAAGTATCAGATACTATACGAGGGATAACCACCTGCTGTTCATTTAGGTAAATAATATTATATGTCAAATCGTAATTAAATTAAATTAAAAAAATACAAAAACAAAAAACCAAATTTTATTTTATTTAAATCAATTGATAATTTATTACCAAAATTAAAAGCAATAAGTATACCTAATAAAAAAAAACCTATTGTGAAAAAACAGCTGTTGTTGTATTATCTTCAAAAACTCCTGTTAAGATTAAAAATTTCACCTACAAAACTACTTGAACCCGGAACAGCCATATTAGTGATAAGAAGACCTACAGCTGCCCAAGCTGTATAATTTGGTTGGTACGTATGTGCAAACGGTTGAAACGTGTCAAAGGGTGAAACCCTCGCCTAAAATATGGCTGCGCCTTTGGTGAGTTTGCCTGTACCTTTGGGGTTGTGGCAGTCCAGTAGTATGGACTTTGTGTTTGGCCTACCGCGTGATGCGGCAGGCAACACTGGGATTGTGGTCTTTGTAGACCGATTGAGCAAGATGGCTCACTTAGCAGCAGTGTCAGACTCCATTGATAGAGAAGGAGCAGCTACGCTGTTCATGGATCGTGGGTTTCGACAACACGGATTGCCAGTGGCAATCGTCTCGGATAGAGACCCCCGTTTTACGGGTAAGTTTTGGACGTCCGTCTCTAAAGTGCTCGGCACTCGACTGGACATGTCTACGGAGGATCATCCACAGACCGATGGTCAGACAGAACGCGTGGATCGCGTTATTGGTGATATGCTTCGCAGTGTTTGTGCTGAAACACCCAAGCAATGGAGCACGATGCTCCCTCTGGTAGAGTTTGCGTTGAATAACGCGGTGCATGCCTCGACAGGCTTCACCCTATCTATGTGAATGGTTTGGTCAGCCCTCGCGTTCCTTTAACGCTACCCCCTGCCACATCAGGGCTTAGTTGGGGAGAGATAGCCGAAGTCTTGGCTGATATCAGCCCTGTTGCGATGCGCAAGAAGGTGGAAGGGTTTCTGTCCACGCCTTTGGACGTATTACGTTGCGTCAAAGACGCTATGGCTGAAAGCCAGGATGTTCAAAAGGAACACGTGAAAGCCAAAGGCATAAAGAACGAACACGAGTTCAAAGTGGGATATTTAGCTCTATTAAATACTATGAAATTACCTACTTGTGCCGTCCCTGCAATATACAAAATCAAATTGCGACCACGTTTTATGGGAACCTTAACGGTCATAGGCAAGAAGGGTTTAGCCTATACGCTCTACCTTCCGAAGAAGATGAGAATACACCCTGTGTTCTATGTGGTCTTACTTAAGCCATACCTCAACCCTGCCTCGCTGAACTTCGAGAGGTTGCCCCCAAATCCCCGGCCGAAGGAGGCAGAAAGTACTGCACCGGAGGTGCATATGGACGCTGAAGGCGTACCAGGAGGTCGATCTGACATCGCAGCTCGGCTTGAGAATGCTCAGATCGCCTTTAAGTGATCCGAGGTCTCAGAGCGATACCGCTCAATAGACCGACAGTGTCGATTGACACGGTCATCGAGCGATGACAGGTGAGACCTCACCGATGCAAGAGCATCACGCCCCAGAAGCGTCAGGCGACGCTCAATCTCAGAGAGATGAGAGGTCAATGGGTCATCGACCTCCTCCGACGTTGATTGATGACCGGCCGTGAAACGCCTCTTGGCTCGGCGTCGTCACCTGGGTCATACTCAATATATGGTGAAGTGGAGGGGTTACCCCCAGTCGTATGACTCGTGGGAATATGAGGTACCCCTCCGGCAGGATTGCTCTGACGCCGTTGACGCTTTTGAGCAGGACGGTCAGAAGCAACGACAGCTGTCGTCGGACGCTTCCTAGCACTAGGTGCTGTGGAAGTAGGGTCAGCAGGATGGCTTATCTTCTGACATTCAGAAGAGCCAACGCCGGTACATCACTCGAGTGAGAGGTACGGGCAACAGCTTTAGAAGCTTGTCCCCCACAAGTCTTTGACCTGTATGTGGCGGGTATTTGACGTTTCGCTTTGAGCTTAGCGAAGTTAAAATGTAGACGACGTTCTAACCGAACGTCTTACGCTTTAGCGCTTAAACGCAAGTTTGATAAAATTGAGAGCTTACATGCTCGTTCAACCCAGCGGGTGCACTGGTGATCATCTTGTGCAGATGTTTCACCTGGTGCAAGCACCACTGGTATGCCGTTTAGTGGGTGCACGGGCACCTCACGTGACTGTCGTGACAGTCGCTCCTGATACGATTTCATCGTAAAATCCTGGGGAGTAAGAAGCCGCTCACGAAGAGCAACACTATCTGCATTCTCGCACGCCGTACGGGCATGGGACCCAATGACACAGGTACGCAGATATTGCGATGCATCTCGTCGAGCTTCCTCATTGGGGTCCCGGGGCACGAACCCATAATCACGTCGTAAAAACGTTTGTTTGGGCCGTGCAAAGCGGCCGCTCGGGCCTCGTCATCAAGTTGACGAAGCTGTGCAGCGTCAAAACCGTTGTTTACCTCTTCGTTTGTACTCTCTTGCGAGGGAAGAGGAGGCGCTTGGAGCAAGGGGGTTGTCTAACTTGTAGGGGAAGACACAGATTGGGATCGATGTCCCTCGCTCGGTGAGCGTGATGATCTTGGGTTACTTTGACCAGAAGGTGACTCGGCTCCACCGCTCGTAGAAGCAACATCACTGTCATCGTCCCCAAAAATGTCGTGACGCAATGCTTCAACCATGATGGAGCAAGCGCTATGGAGACAAGTGCTTTTATAAAAGCAAGTGTTCGTGAACACTGCGATGCTTAAAGCAAGTGTTGTGAACACTGAAATGCTTCAATGCAGTGCTAGGCACCTTGTGCTGTGAAAGCAAGTGTTTGTAAACATACAAAGGGTATTAATAATACCAAGTTCTTGGCACTAAACGCTTATAAGCAAGTGTCGTAACGCTTAATGCTTTAGCGTGAGTGCGATGCACTATATGCTCAAAGAGCAAGTGTCGCAACACAAGGATGCTTATAAATCGTGTGTGCAATGCACGGGTGCTCAAAGAGCAAGTGTTGAAAAACACAGAAGCTTTAGACGCAAGTGTAAGCACTTATTGCGAAGCAAGAAAAATGAGAAGAAAATGAAATCGATGCCTTCAATTAAGTGCGAGAATTGTAGTACGTCGGGTCCAACGGATTGGTGGGGGGAGGGTGTAACGGGGTTACACAAAGGTGTGTATTTTCATACACACCTGCCACACCAATGTGGCGTGGCTGTACCTTGGGTACAAAAGTAGGTGATGTGACCGTACCTGAAGTACGAAGGGTCGCATCGTGGGGAGAGAGCTAACAGGTCACTGTTACTTATTTAGAGTATAGTGACTATGCATGTTTGCATAATACTAACAGGCTAAAGAGCCAGTAAATAGTGACTAGCACTAAGTATAGAGTAGGTGCTTCTATATTTAGTGTTAGAAGATAAACACAAATATAAATCAGTTTCAAATCTGCTCTCTAAGCCTTACAGCTTGAGCGTTCATTTCCTTTTAAGGAATTGTATCTTTGATACTAGTCTCTCTGAGACTCGGTTGTTAATACCGATAGGCACAAGCTTACGAGCTAGCCTAGGAGGAATAAGCACCCTAAGACGTAGAAGCTCTCTGAGCTTGTCTTCCTCTGCACAAAGTACATACGTAGCTTTGCTACAGTTGTTTGACTACTTCTTCTGCACATAGTGCATGGCGAAGTAGCGTAGCTACAGTAGCTCGGCTACAGTAGCGCATATGATGTTAAATTTGAAACAGAGGTAAATATTCTTGATTCAGTATTATTGGCTTATAATTCATTAATTGTGCTCCTCCACTCTATTTTGTTGTCCTTTGACCGTAACGGATTGTTTGATGCACATATCTTTCAAAAATTAACTTCATTCTAATTATGTATGTCTGATTTATTAATCTCAGATATTATATTACAAATAGATGCTTATCAACCAGAATTACTAGTTTTTTGTCATTTATCAAAACGCCGTGTAGCCAGTCTGTAAGTTTAAAGCTCCAAGACATAAATGAGCACTCATTTTACATCTGATCAAGTAACCACTGAGGCGGCAGCGAATGTGCTACTGACAAGTATAACAGTCTTCTTTCCTTTTTTACTGGTGCTTCTTCTATTGTATGAGATATTACGACCTCGTGTGCCGCACGTGTATTCGCCTGAAAACCATATCGACTTTCCCGAGTCCAAGCAGCACAATTTCTTTAGCTGGGTGCCCTTTCTGTGGCGCATTGATGAAGCCAAAGTAGCTGAAAAGTGTGGATTGGATGCCTGGGTGCTACTACGCTTTATAAAAATGGGGCGTAAGGTGGCGCTATTCTGTGTCTTGTGTTCATTCGTCCTATTTCCTATATATTTCTTCACGGCAGCCGTATTTGAGGCTCAAAACAGACATCATGACTTGATACAGATGCTACCTAATGAAGGGATAGTAGCTAATGCAACCATAGCTACTATCACGTCCATGATGATGATTATCCTCAATCGACAATCGGATCTTGGTAACAGTACAGCTAATACCCTGTCTTCAGACGGGAAGGTAAAGCTAGACGTTGTTGATCGTCTAACGATCGCCAATGTGGGTAAGGATGACTGGAGACTCTATTTTACGGTGTTAGTCTCATACATGATGAGTACTTACGTCATGCAACTACTGCTAAATGAGTACACGATGTACCGCAAGCGCCGCCACGAGTTTCTAATGCGTAAGCACCCACAGCAGTATAGCGTCGTCATTTCAGACCTTCCCGAGTCGCAACGGCGCCCACAGACATTGCAGGCGTATTTGGACTACTTGTTTCCTAACTCAGTGCACTCGGTCTACATTGGTGTTGAGTGCGCGGAGCTAGAGAAACTGCTAGCTAAGCGGCAGGAAATTGTTTCCCGTCTTTATACAGCGCATGCCAAGCTAAACGAAGCAAAAAGTAAGGCTGGTGACCATGATGTGATTAAGCGACCGAAAGAATGGATTGATCGCCGCCTTTTTGGACTCTGTGGTGGCAAACAGGTTGACGCTGTTGACCACTACACCGAGATATTACAAAAGCTTGAAGCCGAAACTATTTGTGTTCGAGACAACATCCTTCAGCGTCGATCGGCAGAAAAGACCCAAGAACCTGTTAGTACAAATCAGTATGACTCCATAAATGTAGCGCCACGGGGATTTACTACTTTGACTGAACTGGCAGAGAAGCTACGTAAAACAAAGAGCGCGTCTAGTGACCGACGGTGGGGCGAAGCAACGTTGCCGCTGCTCTCTGTAAAGTGGCGAGCTCCCAAACAGCCTAACGTAATGCGTAGCTGCGCATTTGTCAGCTTTCGTAGCATTCGTTCTGCACAAGCAGCGCAGCAACTACTTCAGGTAGAGAACCCGCGTCGCATGATTATCCTCCCAGCGCCCAACATCCGTGATGTGCAGTGGAAAAACTTTGGTCTACCGCATAAACTTAGAGCTAAGTGGAAGCTTATCTCAGTGGGAGTTTCTCTTTTGATTGGATGCTTTTGGACAGTGCCAACGGCTTTTGTCGCATCCATGGCTACTGTTGACGAGCTCCGCCATCTGTTTCCGTGGCTTGGTGGCTTTATGGAAAAGCACCCATGGCTTCCGATTGCTTTACAGCAAACTGCACCTCTAGTCTATTCAGCAATGAATGGTCTTGCCAACGTAATTTTCAAGCTGCTATCCACCCAAGAGGGACATTTATCGATCTCGGAGGTGGAAGCTAGTCGATTTACCAAGCTATGCTTTTTCCAAGCATTTCAGATGTTCTTTGTATCGGCGCTAACCGGATCTATCATCACGGAATTTATGCTGTTCTTGGACCAGCCACGCATGCTGTTCTTCTTCTTGGGCAACACAATCGCAAACCAGTCCATGATGTTCATTACCTTCATAATCTCACAACTTTGTGTGGGTATGTCTCTATTCCTGCTGCGTGTATCACCGTTGGCGATCTCTGCGGCTTACCATCTCCTGGCTCCAATGCATGCAAAATTACCGCAGCCTCAAGTTTGGATGGGCCTTTGCCCCGTCAATTTACAAACCGACATAGATGCCCCGATGAATCTGGCTCAGCAATATCTTGTGTTCTTACTAGTCGTGGTGTTTACTCCGATTGCACCACTATTGGGTTACTTTGGCGCGATATTTTTCGCAGTATCTGAGCTTTCCTACAAGCGATGTTTTTTCTTTGTCAATAGCTCACGCTGGGCAGCAACTAATTCAATGGGAGTTTTTTGGCCACCTCTTTACTCGTTCGTGATCGGGGCACTTATCATTAGCCAGTGCACTCTGATTGGACTGCTATCGTTGAAGTCAGCCGGGTATGGACCTATTGGGCTCATGACTGTACTACCTCTCAGTACACTGATATTCCATTGGTATGCAGTTGATCTGTCTCATTTAAAGCGTGCTGCCGAGAATCTGCCCCTTGATCAGTGCTGTGACGTTGACGAAGAGCGAAAGAATGATTCCTTCGACTTTCTCGATGGTGTTTACCAGCAGCCAGCTCTCGTGGAGGCATTCCGCCTGGCTTCAATCTTAACTTGCTACCCAGGCGTTGTCATTGATTCTACTGACAAACTGGTAAACGTACCAAAACGCCACATTGAGCCACTAAACCAACCCGCAAAGCCTCTTAACCAGCGGATTTGTTTAGCTGAGATTAACAAAGATGTGAAAGACGAGATCAAAATAACCGAATGAGTGCTGGGAATCCAGCAGGCGAAATTGAATTGCGATGCACTAAGTCATTAGTGCAAGTAGAGTCAATTGGTTACTTACAAATAGATTCCATGTTATCGTGTTAATCTACCGTTTTGACTGTATCCATGATCCATAGGTGATTATCTCCGTCAGAGAAGTTATTTAGAGAGGTCAAAACACTAACGCAGTATGGATTTATATCGTCTAGCCAAATTCTCAAATCATTGAATATTGCATTCACGAACCTAATCGTCTAATGACACTGTATACCGTGTGACGAGTACTACTGGCAGCTTATTGTCCACAATTGGTGACAACGGCAACTGAAAGAGATTCAGGTGAGGGATATAACATCTATTTGAATTGATTGATCAGTGTTAAAAAGCTCTAGTTTCAATCTACATTTTCTTTTCAGAGTTGGATTGTCTTAAAAACATCATTTCAATCGTGGTATACATTGGCCCTAATTAGAACGATAAGGTCAGAGCAAGGATGACTAAGATTCTCAACACATTTGAAGCCACTACAGCTTTTCAGCGAGATTCCCATTATGTCAAATTCATCATTCGATCTCGCTCCGTTTGATACCATTTCCGCTTACAAAATACATACACCTACCTTAAAATTGTTAAGAATCAGATAGGAGCGAAAGACTTTGATGAAATGCTTTCAACACTGCCTTGAAGGCGTTCAGTTGAACTATGCAATTAATGAATCATCACCTTCTCAACAAAACAAAGAAAACAATTAACTACGAGCTCAGTTGGAAGGCAGCAGAAAGTGATTTTGTTTTCAGTAGCAACACGATGATTGCCTCAAACAAACACAATATCCTTTCTTTCATCACTACTCACACTCACAATGGACGGACAAAGATCTATATAACACATCTAGATAAGCGGACTCAGGCAGTATGAATACAACAGCAGTCCACATGGAGCAATTGCTTCTCGGAAGGTGTCCTAAGTTTGTGTCTCATCCTCATCCGCACTTAAAGCTAGTTTAACAATATACATATTACACGAGACACATGGATGCGACATACAAACAGAGTAAGATCGATCAAACTATCACCAGCGTCCTGGCAAAAGAACGCCGGGTCTTTCAGCTGTGCTCAGCGTCGGTCGTATGGGGAAAGAAGTTTGTCCTATCATCTCGATCAATGGAATAAAGGTGCGTCGCGAATGAAGAAGAAGAATGATACAAGACTACCAACACAGTCACTTAGAACGAAAAACATTTACAGCCAGTCGTTTTGGTAAAGTAGGACTAAAGCACGAACTTTACCAGAGTTAGGACTTCAGTCGAATTAATCTGTCTCGTACTGTACTTTATATACAAGTTCGGCTACAATTTGTATAGGTACTACGCTTGAGCGTGTATGTGACGTGTGACAGTAACGTCAATGAAATAAGTTTCGACCTTACCATACAATAGACGTACTTGCAATGTATATTGTCTGTAAATTGCGGATGTGATATTGATGATACACATGATACTACTAAAATATCTACTATTGATCTCCATTGATTTGTACGTCTAGTAGTCTTATGTCTTGTGACGCGCTGTAGAGCGGACTTTTCAGATGGCCAAGTGGTACTGTAGAGAAAGTCGGCTAACGATTAAAACAGGCAATTGCTTTGACAAACGACAAAGGCAGATTAAATTAGGTGACCTTTCTTGCACTTGCACGTGTCAGATACATTTTACATACATACATCAGTCGACACGATAAAAACAGATACCACGTTAAAGGCGCTACTTGGTATGTGCTTAAACTTCAGATCGGCTGGTATGTAGATCTCAAGTGCTAGTCTCAGGTCCGCAACTTTACGACGTCATGCTTGTGCATCTCCGTTGCAGCGACCTGCTTGATTGGCTAAATGGCAAAGATAACGCGATGGTTAGTCACACGAAGCATGTAAACGAAAATATTACTGTATTTTGCACGAGTCGTCTGCTTCCTCAGCGCCAAATTTTGTTGTAGGAGAAGCCTTATCATCGCAAGCAGCCCCTTCGGCGTCCAGGCTGATAGAACTAAACGATTGTGGACCAATTTGCTTTTCTCCATTCTCATGTTTTGTGGTAGAATCAGAGTCTTCGCACACTGAATTAGGCACCACCGCTCGTGTCTTACTACTGCCACTCCCAGAGAACCGGCAACTGCAGCGAAAACTATTAGCTACGCCAGCAAAGTAGCAGTGGTTGCAAAGATCGCAATGCTGATTGCGGTGGTCGCCACATCGGCGACACTTGGCGCAATGGCGGCGTGGTTTCTTAGCATCTGGACATAGTCGATTGTTGCACCAAGAGTATGTAAAGCGTGCGCCGCAATGCGGGCAAGCGAACCCGTTTTCTACAGTATGCTTTACTTGTACAACACCACCACCTCCCTCACAGCACTCGTAGCTGACGGTTGAGTCCAGCAGCTCTTGCATGTCCTTGACCTTCGAGAGGTGCTGCATCAAGCACATGTCACGAACCATCAACTGGATATCAATGCCCTCGCGCACCATAGGTACAAATGGATTTGCACAGACCATACACTTGCAGTGAGCGCCACACACCAGTCCTGACTTTACGCACGCACATCGAGCATTACGGCATTTGCCTGTGCATTTACAGCGCACCACATCGTCTTTTCCATCTGTCGACGACGCCTCTGACAAAGTAGTAACAACACTCTGCTCTGGCTGCGGCTGGTGTAGCTGCTGAATTGAGCTTGATTCAGGAACAGGCGAAGTCTTATGCAGGGACTTTTTGAATGGACGACGCCCTGTCGGTTCTGGGACCTTTGTAGCATACTGGACCAAACCATGCTCCGTTTTGCCGGTACCTGTAAGACTTTGAGACCTTGCAGAGGCAGCCATCGAGACTGGGCAGCCGTACTGAACATACTCTGGAGACACAAGCGCCTTTCGCTTGTTCTTTTCTTCCGCCATTTTCTTTTGCAACTGCTTATGCGTGCTCAACTCTGCTGTCATCACACTTCCAGGTAGAAGTTTAGTATTTGTAGAATGACAAACGCTGGACGTTGCTGGGTCAGCATGCGGTCCATGCTGAGGAATGACACGCCATTTTACTGGTTCCTTTTGCGTTTTGTCTATGCATGACTCATTGTACGCCTTCCAGTCGATAATCTCACACGACGGCGTCCTAGAAAAATGAACGAACACATGCACGTGTAAGTGGGAGAGGTAATCATCGATTTCGCAGAGCTTATCGATGCGCACCGAGGTAGACCTCCATTTCTTGTCGCAGTGGCTCCATCTGCTTGGACATTCCCAGCGCCACCGCTAGACCCTATGATTCCACCTGCTGCCAACCCTCCTCCAACGCCGTAAAGTGCAGCGGGAGATACGAGACCTGTAAGACTCTCAGTGCTCGCAGAAGGCACAAGCGATTGCAGCCAATTAATGGTAGCGGGCGACATGGATGGACCGTTGAGCAGTCCTACAGGCGAAATGCTGTCCACTCCACTACAATTGCTACTCAAAAATGTGGAACGAGTCATTTGAGACGAGCTAGAGGCATTTAGTGATAGCATATCATCATAATCTAGTCGAGTATCTTCCTCCCTCCCGTAGTCAACATCTTGTGGTTGTTGTTGTAACGCTACATCAGTGTCGTTGGCATCAAGTGATCCTAATAAATCAATAACTTCACCCAACTCTCGATAGGTTCCGCCTCCAATCGATTGCATTGCCAATATCTCACGCTGCTGCTCTCGTGGCGGCGGTCGCTCGGGTAAAGACGGAAGCTGCTGTTGTATCGCCAAATCATTACCGGAAGGTGGTGTAATTAGAGAAGTATCCAAGAATTGTAATACATGCTTCATTTCCTCTTCCATATCTCGACCACTACCGAGTAATTGACGCGCTGACGGTCCGTCTTCCATCTTTGCACTATACGTTAAATACAAGTATGCGGGTTTTGTCCGGATAAAGTGCTCAGGATATTTACTTCGTGATAACGTTTATACAAAAAGACGTAACTTAAATGAAGCTGACCGACCAATCGGATGCCTACATATTAAAAACTAAATAAATTAGAAGGTGATGATGATGTTCCGTCGCCACCAGTTCCCACGTCTGCCCAGTGCTGGTCGAAGACGTCCAGCTAACAAGTTGCATTCGGTGACACCTGCAAAACTATGCAGTCACTTTATTTTGCTATTTAAATCTCAAGGCTGTAGTGTCGTTGCTATCGCGTCGCTAGTGCCACCTGGTAACGATTGGGGGTCACTGCTGTTTGTAAATGCCGGTATGGTGTCATTTAAGCACTATTCAGCACCGTAACGCATATCTTACTGACATGAAAACTCAATTACTGGATAAAAATGTGCCAGCACATAGTATTGCTTCTTCCTTGAAGTAATTTCCAAAGCTATGTCTGTATAACATTTCAAGGATTGTGTGATGGCGGCGACTTGGTTTAGATCATTTCCTCCCTTCCTGCTTCCAGAGAACGCTACGAAGACGTAAGAAAATTGAATGTTCCACGCCTATGCTGCTTGGGCTAGACCTAGAAGGCCTGCTGGCAAGGGGCTCGTCGCCTATGAAAGCAGATTTCTGGATTCTAAGTTTGCAAGATTTTTAAAAAACTGGACGAACCGGAAATTTCTGCGTAATAGGTGACTTGGGTCCGTGTTGGCTCACGCTCTGAGGTGCTTTTTTGACTCGATGAACTACATTGCTGAAGCCGGCAAGCATTTTTGGAGCTTTGGAACCTCGTCTCCATACTGTCTTCCTGCAATGGTTGTGAAAGTGAGCTGTATGCGCTTCCATGTGGCTCCGTCGATACTGGAATGGGTCTTAAACATATAGCGTCTGTTCTTCAAGATGCTTATCTACTACTACATGGATATTTTCGTGTCTCCAGTACATTAGGTAGCCTTGTGATGATGCTCAGCATATTAACTGCCCGCCAGTCTTTTATAAATGCACTTCAAAAGGAAGTTGACCTACGAGAAAAATTATTAATGTATTAGAAAGGAATCCATACTTTTGGCTTTGTTAGCGATCATCTTCGTGCAACTTACGCATTGCTGCACGATGATGACTTCCCATGTAACGTAAGTATTACGCCGTATCATAAAACGCGCAATTTATCATGCACAACGGCTCAGTGTTTAAGGTCGTTAAGACAAATGCTTGTTTTAATTGCTGCTTGAATTTGTAAAAAGCCTGAAGGTTTCCAGCACATGCGTGCAATTGTTGTAAACGCTGGGAAATACATAAGACAAATGCTTCGGAACGGCTGACCATGCCATCAAGAGGGTGTATTCTACGGCACAGCTTGCTTGTACGATGTTGTCCGGTGCTAATGCTTTCCGGCTTTCCAACACCTTCGGCATCGCGCTAGACATCACTCAGGCGTTAGGGCCTCACCGTTGATGTTCCAGGTTATAAGGCGTATTTGAAGATGTACAAGCACCATACCAGTGGGTTGCAGTGCCTTGTACTCAATACACTCAGCTTTAACACTATACAAAGCTGTCATCGCTAGTCCAGCGGCCGCTTTAGAAAGCAAACTTGTAAGTCACGAACACCTCAATGTCTGAACGCCCGATTTCTCCGTAGCTGGCCGCACCCCATTGCAATCTAAGCAATGAAAAGGAGACTTAAACAGGATTGGGGGTGGTTTTCGATTGCTGTCGATATTATTCAGACCAAGTGGGAGATCATTTATACCTAGTTGTTATTTCCGGTGACAACTTGTATCGCGTTCGTATATTTTAGCTGAGGACACGACAAAGGAAAACGAAGGGCTGTAGATCTTGAATGCTTTCTACCAAAGGTGCCGTGCACGCGGATGTTTAAGCTCTTTTTTTTTCCGGTGGAGGTACACTAGACTGCAAATTCCGCTTTGGTTGCCGTTCACCACACAGCAGCACACTTGCTGCAGTGCGCAACTAAAGGCTGAGCTGGGTGAGCACGTTACCAAGACTCACAAATTACAATTGACCGTCTTTGTTTCAACTTTGCTTCTTTCATTGCGTTTACTGTTAAGAAATTAGCAAGCGTAAAAGCAAAAGTGAATGAATTTGTCGCTGCAGGGCTAACTACAACCGTTAATTTGCCGCGAGAAGAGCCAAGCGCAGCTGCGTATACGCAACTTCGGCGACAAATATGGAGCCATCGTGCGTGTCGTTCGCGTTGCCTGTGGTGACGTTGAAGAGGATAATGCCTGAATGAAGCATTTGTATAAAACGACTTTTGCGAGGAGCACACGTGCACAACGTGCTTGAAGTGTTCTTCTTTGTGATGGCCAGTAAAAGATAGGTTGCTGCTGGCACGCGACGTGTGGAAGCTGTGACAGGCAAGCCGGCTCAAAGTGCCTATCTACAAGCGAAGGTAAAGACTATAAAAGATGCTGCTAGTACAGCAACTAACTATGCCTGGTAAAGTTGTGTGCTCGTCGCAAAATTACAGAAGCACTATTAAGGTAGTTCAAGTGTCAAGCTCGAGCTCTCGGTAATGTGCTTGCCACACTTTCATCGACGCCTCTTTCCTCAGGACCTGGGATTGTGTGCTGGATTGAGATAATCACTGAGAACAAATCACCTTCATATAGGACCAGAGGCACTCTAACATTGCGCAGAATTTCTTTCTGAGCAAGTTGCGCCTGACGTAGTGCTGCTTAATGAATGTTGTGTTTTGCCAAGGATGAGGCAAGACTTTCGCTTCAAGAGACTGCAACAAATTGGTTGGCGACTGCAACAAGTGTTGTTACCGTTGGGTGGGGAGGTCGAAGTGGTGACGATTCTCAGGTTTGCACAAGACGCTGTGCCAGCAGAACTTGTCCTGCAAGAATTCTCCTTTATGTCTCTAACATAGGGTATAAGATGGATAGAGCATTTTAACTGTCATTTAATATTCCTTGCCATTATCGAAACTAATAACAAAATGAACGAAACAGAGCCGGCGATCATTGCAGCTCAATTGCGCAAAGCTGTAAGTGATTTACGCGTCCGTGGGCTTAATCTAGCTAGAAAATTTGCAGCAGATCTTCTTCTTGGCATGGGTAAAACTGCATACCATCGGTTGTCCCCGTACGAATTGCAGAAAGATGTAGACACTGAGGATGAGCCTGAGAACTGGATAGAGAGCGACCGCTTTGAGGCTTCCAAGGCTTGCTTTGATGTAGGCGAATATCTCCGTGCCAACTCTTTATTATCTTTCGATAATGAGAGTAATATGGGCACATTTTGTACCCTTACGCACAAATCGCGCTTTCTTAAAGATTACGCGCTCTTCCTGGTAAGAAAGATGGAATAATTTTTTCCAAATGAGACCTTAACTATGTATTTGTATCGTTTTTTTCAATTTGAACCGTTCAATAGGCTGGAGAAAAATTAAAAGAGGAGATGAATCTCGAAATAAATATTTCTGGCAGCAGCAAAGGTTACACCTTCTTTATTGCATTGTGGTGAATGAATTCAAGAGCTAACTTGAATGTTACGTTATGGGCAATTTACTTTGCTAATTATTCGAGATAGACCGTAACGTGCATCACCAAGGTACTAACCCTTACCTTCAAGAGCTATACCGGTCGCTTAGTGCCTCATACCAACAAAACACACTGGATGGATTTGGCCTCTACCTATACGCTGTCGTTCTAAAGCGCTTAGGCTACAGCACCAGTACTGGAAGTACGCAAGCTCAATCGTCGACCCCGACTAGTATGAAAACGCGGCATTGGGTGGATTTTGCTGAAGAACAAAAGCGTCAGCAAGTGCATGGCCCCATCGCTGGCAACAGTCAAAGTGATAATAAAAGAGAGCCAAGTGTACCCACTACACTGACATTTGACGTCACCACGCGGTTTATCTTAATAGAATCGATTCGTCGGTACCCGTGGAACTGGTCAAGCTGGATGGAACTTGCAGCACACTCTCCTTTCACATCCAACGTACGGAAACAAGATAATTCGAATGTTGGCGGTTGAACTCTAACTAGTTATTATGGCTGCAGGAAGAAGAAGTGATTTTGGCGACGAGCTGTCGGTGGATGTTTCAACTCTTTCAAGCACATGTCCTGCTTGACCAACAGCAGAATGATGCTGCGCGCACGCTTTTGACAGGCTTAGAAGAACAGTTTCCGCAGAGTACCTACCTTTTGGCGCAGCAGGCACTGACAAGCTACCACATTCGAGACTTTGACCAGTCTCAAGAACAGTTCGAGCGTCTAGCTGCAAAAGATCCACATCGGGTGGATAATATGGATGTGTACTCAAACGTGCTGTATGTGAAGGAGGACAAGACCGAACTTAGTCGATTGGCACACCGAGCTCTTAAAGTGGAAAAGTACCGGCCGGAGACGTGTTGTATCATTGGAAACTACTACTCGATCAAGAACAAGCACGATCACGCCATTATTTATTTTCACCGTGCGTTAAAGCTTGATCCAAATTTCCTTTCGGCATGGACACTCATCGGTCACGAGTATATTGAAATGAAGAACACAAGTGCAGCCATTGAAGCTTACCGCCACGCGGTTGATCTTAACACACGAGACTATCGTGCTTGGTATGGACTTGGGCAGGCATACGAAATTCTGAACATGTTCCTGTACAGCATCTATTACTATCGTAAATCTGTGGCGATCCGTCCCTATGATGCACGCATGTGGTGTGCTTTGGGTGGTTGCTACGAAAAATTGGATAAAGTTGATGAAGCTCTCGCGTGCTTTCACCGTGCCGTTAATAATCAAGATCGCGAAGGTATTGCGTCATACCACCTAGGCCGAATTTATGCATCGCGTGGTCAGCAACATGATGCTGCCAAGTATTACCGGCTGCACCTTGGTCTTCGAAGCGTTCCAGCATCGCTTTCGCAAGATCAGAATGGCAATACGAAATTAGTGCCAATTGATTATGACCATCATAGCGAAGATCAGATAGAGGGGCTTGTTCTTCGTAGCAGCAATGACGGTAACATTTGCGTGGATACCGCCCCCCGCGTTGGCGGCAATACTGTTCCTTGCCAACTACTATAAGCAGCTTGGCAGATTCTCCGAGGCGGCAACCTTCTGCAACCGTTTACTGGATATACAAGGGCCAGAGAAAGAGGAAGCCAAGGCACTTTTGCGTGAAATGCACAGTTTGGAGGCAAATCTTAAGCAATACGCTTTCATTGGTCAGACATAAGCGGCGCTGACACTACCGTGGTATTGACGCGGCCAAAAAGCGGCGTTAATACACTTGCTTATTCGCCATCCGTTGCTTGAATAACACGAACGAACGATTTGCTTTTCCGTTTTTGAGATCGAATGGACGCTTTGTATGGTATGACAAAGTGCCACAAGATGAGCTTAAGCTAAGCCACGATGCCTCCAAGTGTCTTGCTAAAGTAATTAACGTAGCCTTACTTTGTTGCTCGACTCCGGCGCAAAGTTCCAATGTAAGTTCTTGAATTGATTGCATTTGCAGAAAGCACGAATCAATAGTCGAATTTGCGTTGCTATCAGAAGCGACCCCGACGGCTAACGTCATCCTCCGCATCTTGAGAGCGACTGCACATGACAATAAATCACAAATTGCACTAAGTTCTAAAGACAATTGTGGCACCCGCAACGTCAGGACCTTGCATTCGTGTACTCCATTCTCCAAGAGCCTCGTCACAGATGCGTTCAAACTGCGCGAGATGGCCTCACTTCGACTATAGCAGCAGATGTGGCACGACTTCAATAACGCATAGTCGGCAACGTGCATGATTGTATTTGCCACTTTTCTGTCAGCTTCATTTGTAGCATCCGGTCCACTTGCGATATCAACTCTCATGTCAAGATGTTTCAGTTGTGCAAATCCACCTTGTAACTCGGCAGATAAACTGTCCAGTAACTTGTTTGTATACACATCACAGGAAAACGACCACTTTAGTGTTTTTACCTGCGCGACCGCCCCATAAAAGCAGCAGAGGCATACCATCAGCATGCCTCCACCTACAGTGGAGAAAGAGGAGAGCCTACTGGTGGTCAGTTTGATGTATCAGCGCGGATCAAGCGGAACGGTAAAGCTAACAGTGCGATCGTGTGTAACTGCCAGAGTGGAAGAATATAGCGACAGCCTCGGGGTATACACAAAATTTGACGGCAAATGAGGCTGAATACCGGAGTCAGACGTTAGACTTCGATCTGCTTACGGATCAGGTGAAAATAAGGATGATCTATTGTGGTAACTCAAACCTGGTGATCCGGCAGATGCGTGAAGAGATTGATTGCAAGGCAATTGAATAATATCTTTTACGTCATGAATTTATAAAAAGACTTGATTGTGGCCGAACCATGATTTTCGACACATAAAACGAGTTTGGAAACAAAGTGCTGATCGACTAGCGAGCAAAGCTTTACATTGGGAAAAGGCGCTACTGTCTTTTTGGATCATGAAATTCAAGCCCTGACGACCCTCAATCGATTGTACGGGTTCCTGATAGCAAAAGAAGACGATCGAGTAGTAAAGATGGCCGTAAATACCCGATCGGCTGTAAGAAGACGTCGTCAACCTAAAGTACTGCGAGGGGAGATCGTGCGACAACTTCGAGTCGAGAGAATAACACAAGAGCAAGATGAAAAGAGATGAATCGCTGACTTGAAGACATATCTGATTGGGGACGTGGCGACGCTAGAGCGGAGTCAGCAAAATAGAGGGCTCTCATCGCGTCAGATCATGAAGTGGATGAAATTGGATTGTTGTTTTTCTTCCCTCAATCGGCTGTCAACTCGAAGGATCGAATGGGATTGTTTCGCTTGGTGGTTCCAGAACTATTGCAGCGAGATTTATTATACCATTACCATTCTAGTTTGGAAGGCGGCCACTAAGAAATTGGTAAGACCTATCGAAGGGTCCAATTCAACTTTTATTTGCGAGGTCTATATCCAGTGTGCAACGGCATGTGGGCGAATGCGTGGATTGTGAAACTGTAAAGGCCGTCCAGAGATCCGTGGTGAATCTCCTGGGAATGTCCAAGCGACGTACCCATTCAAATCATTGCCATGGATCATATTCCGTCGTTATTACAATCGCACAAAGGGAACATGGAATTGTTACAATGAGTCAATATGTTCTCTAAGAACAAGATTGCGAAGGTAAGTTAGTCTCGAACAGCACAAAAAATTGCAAAAAATTTACAAGGAATGTGTTTTTTTGGTGTTTTGGTGCCAGTCAGGTGATTCGTCACAATCGAGAGCCTGGGTTTCACGATATTTTCAAAGCGTTCAACCGGATCGCGGAACAGTAAAAACACTGGAAGGCCGGGTGAAGTCACAACTGGATGTTGTCTTTGAGGACAACGAGGTGCATGCACCTAACGACGAGGTACTGGCCTAAGAGGGTCAGGTGAAGTCAAAAATGACTGTTGTCTTTAAGGACAACGAGGTGCAAACACCTCATGACGAGGCATTGACCCAGGAGGGTGGGGTGCAGTCAGTAAACGAAAGGGTCTTTGACCTTGAGGTGTGTACACGTGTGGACTCTTATGCGTCAGATAATGAGAGCATCATGAGTAGCGATGATGATGTCGTGAGTGACGGTGATAGCACGCAGCTATATACACTCGTCAATGGTTTGAGTGGGGATGTTGAAGAGCCGGTGGCTCATTCAGCTGTACCCGCTAGTGCTAAACGAGTTGTCCTTTGCCGCCTAGTGCAGGCGACATTGCCGAAGTGGTCGTTATATGACCTGAGGAGAAGTTAAACTCCTCATCGATTTGGATAAAAACGTCTTTTGACGACTTCAAGAAGACGATGCATACGCGTAGTGGATCACATATCCTGAAGGACCCATCGGATCCTCATTTTTGTTATGTTGAAGGAATATAAGGATGTTGCATCCAGAAAACTTTTTACGAGGCTCTGGCGCCTTAACTGTCGACTGACGGAGGGAGTACTCTGAAACGTATGCTAGTCCTTCCTCCCCTTGAGTAGACGTCGACTAGGCGGTTGCACTCTTTTCGATGGACTTGCTTTGATCTTGAACGTGATGGGGTATGGATAGTGGTGGATCGCGTGGAAATTTTCTTACAAATCAGTTCTTAAATAAATCAACTAAACCTTTCCTTTACAGTACTTGGTCACTATCGATAAAGGTTTTGAAGGTTAGATCTTCTCTTTCCTTTTTTTTATCGTCTTGAGTCGTTACGTATATTTTCTGACCACTCGAACCGTCTCGTAGAGATCCTATCATCAAACGCAGCGTCCGATCGCACTTGACTTGATTTGAGTATTCTTAAACCCCTGGTCAAAACGTATCCAGGCGTGCTCGGCTGTACGTACGTGTGCTCCCTTCATTTAAGTGGTGGAAAACAGTTTAATCTGGAAGTGATAAGAATACACGTACTTCAGATGATACCTACGTATTCCTAATACTGATACTTGAACTTGCCTAAGGTAAACCATACCTATGCATATCTAACAAAACTAATATATTTGGTCTCACTTTCAAGTTTACTGCTATTCTATGCCCAATGAGCATTAAAACTTTCGACCTTCCTGCTCGTATGACAACACGCGTCACTTTAACGGCGATCGCAATAGGTATTATATGACGCCCACACCAGCTGATCCGATCCGTAGACGACTTGATCGGCTGGTCACGATCGCAATCCGTATTGTGTAGTCCACACTGTGCGATCTCTCTATTGACCAATCACGTGTGATCCGGACTTTCATCAAATTATAGGGCGCCCAAATGCACCGCAAAAGGACCATTCTTACAACCTTTACTTCTCCACAGTATTAACGCGATATGCTATTACACGATTTGTGTCATTACAATTGCGTTGTTTATACAATCGTATTGAGGTGTCGATCTTGTCCATTGTGGATGCCTTGATCCTATAATTGTTATATTGAAAAGAATTGTTTTACCACAGTTTCAAAAAGTGACTGGAGCTTCTATGATCCCATCGAAGATTGGTTTGGTTTGAAGTCATTGCTGTCGATCGCGGTTTGTACTTAATCACTGGAAATGGGCCCTTAGAATGCAAATGTCCTCGTCGTTACACGTAAAATGCGGCTCCAGTTCGACTCCCTGTCTGAGTTTGCCAAGGCAAATTATGACGATCCAGTACAATAATTTATAGCCATACTGAATGGTGATCCGATCGCTACGTTTGACCAAATTTTTCTTTACGAGGGTCCTGTCCTCTCGAATAGCAACGCTTTATGTGATTAGACTTAATCCATTATTTAGTTCGATACTGTGCTTAATAAGTTGATACTGTCTCTTTTAGTGATTGGATCGGCGGTAGAATCGCGTCGAGAATGTTCAAAGAACGTGGCACTTCCGATCTCGGACCTTGCACCTATCCAATCAGCCTCGGACGCAGAAAGGGCAGAGTTTAGAACGGTGAATACAAAAATTTCCGTAATTTCGTACAACTTTCACTTCAACTAAATCCAGTTTAGAAACACCATCGTGATCATTCTGATCATCATTGATAAATCCAGAGGATATTTTATCATTCTTTATCGAAACTCCACGAGACACACCAAGCTACACATTAAGAACTGCAATTAAATCATCGTGATCATTTATAGCAACATTATAAGCTACAGTACGATCTATAATTGTAAGCTTTACTTATTTTTCGTCTTCATTGGGCGCCTTATATTTGTGGCGCGGCAAGTACTAATTATCATTAACATTCTGGATTAAAATATATTGAATCGTGCTTTGAAGTGCGATTCGCACAAATTTCCAATCAATACTTACAGAGAAGGGTGATAATTCCCAGATGGAATCGATCTTTATCTTTAATCTTGTCGATTGAGCTCCTCCAAGAACCGACAATCCGAGAGAACATTAATTACATAACGCGTCGGCGGTGATCTTTTAGCCTCTAACGGTTCGGTCCCAGATTATACCTTGCGTGTCATATTTCCTTCTGCGGACTCACGGTGAGATCTAGAGTCGTCAAAAGATTTGGAAGCGCACACCATTGTGATGAGGCGGAAATATTATAAACTCATTAGCATTCCCAATTTCAAGGCCCAGACTA